TCCACTGGAAAAACCTCCAGGCTGCAGCTCCTTCTCTTTCTCCGAAGCATGGAGAGATTACCTTAGACCAACTTCGTGTTGAAAAGATTTTTTTCTCTCTTTTAAATACAAAAATGCCCTAAAAACTAAACTGCATTCATCCTAGGTAATATCAAAACCATAATTCATCTGACGTCACAGAGATAATTTAGCATCACGCACTGGAAAACCTTCAAGGAGACGCGTGTGATGTTGTCACAGCATTAACTTCCAATGCCTGCCAGCAAGGAAACTGCTCTATCAGCGTTTTCTCGGCTAATCTGCTTGTCTTTCGTCCAAGCCCCGCTCTCCTGGTGACCTGGTCACCTGAGATTACGGCTGTAGAGTATGCACCTGACAGATTACAAAGCCGGTGAGTGCTGTACAGATTGATTAGATCTGTCAGACAAACAGAGTCTGTAGTGACGTGTAATGGAATTAGGGATGCACTGATGAACGGGTGAAATTCTGCGCTGATACCAGTGTTTAAAATAACAATTTCACCACTACCAAGTAAAAATGTTTATTTTGTTTTTTGATATCTATTCCCCTTTTTGTTCCAAGCACACAAATAAAATCTGTATCTGCACAATGTCTTATTTGCTGATTAACCAATGGCAGTCAAACAAAGCTGTTTGTTCGATATATCTAGCCAGTATTGTAAAAATAATCCACCCTCTTACCAAACACACGCCTAAGCTATCTAAATAAAATGGACACGCATGTGGACATAAACACAGGGAGCAATGATGAATATTTCAGGGCTTGTTTAAATATTGAAGCTGGCGGGCGCAGGTCTTTATGTGGTTGCAGGTCACATCTGCTGCCCGAGCGCTTTACCTGGGAATGTTAGGACAGCTGCAAGATGCTCCCCCTTTTTTTTAAAAAAAAAAAACCTTACCTGCCTTAGTCAACAAAGTCCCAGACCACAGTGTGAAATGATTCCTCCAGTCTATCATTTAACTTAAGCTTCAATACTAAACATAGCGTCACTTCTTCAACTGGGTACGTGAAACATCTTACATTACAAATATTTCAATGACTATAAATAGCATTGCTCCTCTTAGGCATCAACAAAACACTTCACCAACACTCCATCTGAAACTAGAGACTGGGAAAGCAATCACACTTTCTACACTCTAACTACACTTTAGTGAAAAGACAAAAGTCCTACCTGTAGCGGACGTGAAAGGACTGCTCCTCAGCACGCGTGCTAACCACTGAGCCACCTCTATCCATTGAAGTGCATAATATGAGGGAAAATCCCAGTTTCGTTCCCGAAAAAATGGTTGCGTTTAGCACCAAGACTCTGAGAGGAAAAAAAAAAAAACTAAAAAACTCTTCGGTGAACCAAATGGTCACCAAATGTGTTCGAGTCTGCAGCAGTCCCTCTGCTGAATGTTGACAGGGGAAGGTAAACCCACGACTGTTAAAGCTGCAGAATCCTGAGCGTCAGTCCACACAGCTGCTTTCGTGTAATGTGTGTTTTGCGTCACTGGCCCTCAATCGCTTGTTAGCGGCCCTCTGTGAAGAGAACACAAGATGCTGCATGTGAAGCCTCTTTCTGGCTGCACGGTGCCATGGCAACACCAACCAAACAGCAGCGTGAACAAGCGGGGTAAGCAAGAAGCGGGAGAGTGGGGCGGAAATGAATGCACGGGGCCAGCCAAACTGTCAATCTTCTAGGATGGACGGGGACTTCACCCAGGCTTGGAGAGGTTGTATGCTCCACAGGTATAGCAAAGCAAGAGGAAAAAATATCTACAGTGTGTGTGAATGGAAATCATGGCCTAGGAAGTAGCCGAAAAGAAAGAAAAAGCAACCAGAACCCTGCTGCATGATTGGTTTAAAAAACAAACAAACAAACAAACAAAAAACTCGCCCAAAAAACAAGGTAAACTGAAAATCTGGGAAAAAGCAGAGAGACTTGCTGCATGTACGCTACCTCCACCAAAGGAAAGGACAGCAATAAGCGTGCTACATGGAAAGTCGAGACTGCTTCAAGTAAAAATCTAAACCAGCTATTACCTAATTTCAGCATGAGGTCATTCTTGCCACACCCATTAGCTCCCCAAGTTTAAACCGTCAGCCCCGCCCCTGAACGCACACACACACACACAGCCACACACAACCGCAATATGGGAAATGGGGCAGGCCAGTTATTTACAAACTGGGTTACATCTTTATGTTAAATAGCAACTAAATTACAAGACAGTCATGCAGTAGGTGGCCTATCTCTATTATATTGGCAGCTGAAGACATAATGAGTAATTATTTGTTTCCAACAGAGCATTTGTTCAGCTACATCAAAGATAAGCTGGCTCAAATTAAAAACCTCAAAATGAAGAAGTGATCAGGATGGTAGTAACAACTGAGAATGGTCATGATTATAATTAGATTACGTGATTGATGAGTGCTATTTTACAGTCAATGAAACATTATATTATATTAGGTAATATTGCTTACTAAGTCTACAAATCCATATGTAACAAGGAAGCCAATATTCACAAAAACCTAATATCAGGAACTTTGATTAATAAACTGTTCCTCTTGTTAAGTATTAGAGTTAATCATTAGACCCACAGCAGCGCAAACAGGTGCTTTGATAACAAGAAACATTTCCCATCACTTCAATTCAATTTTCAATTGAGATTAAAGACAAAAATCTCTAAGGCGCAATGCAGTAAAACTGAAAAAAATCTATGCTGCACATACAGTACTTAACAAACATATCCAACCACCACCCAATGGAAGGTCAATGCCACACTGCCCTTAATTAAATTGTTAGTTACCAAAACATTTTAATATTTCTGTTATATTAAATCCACTATTATGTGCAAAGCCTTTTTTTTAAGCTTTTCTAGCTAAAATGTAATGTTTGTTATTATTCAAGAATATTCAAATTTACCATTTTGCAAAAAAACTGAATAAAATAGTGAAGGACAATAATTATACATAATTCTTTATTAAGATGACAGGTTTCAGTTATTTACTTAAAATCCCAAATAGGAAATTAGTTATTGTGGTTGAATGTTACGTTGGATTACTTTCTGACTTCTCAGACAAGTCAGAACTCTATTCTGAGTGTACAATTGCAAATTTTGTTTGTTTGTTATTTGTCTACTAAATAACAACATAATAACATAATAATTTTTAGTTTTAAAAGTTTTTGAGAGATTTCAATATTTTACAGTTTTTAATGACAGTTGAATAACAGCAAATCTCTCAAACTCTGCCCTGTAACCTGCATGTTGTATGTGTATACACACACATATACATACATACATATACACACACACACACACATTTATATATATATATATATATATATATATATATAGTTGGTGGAGTCAACCATTTGACAATCCTGTTATTCCTGCCGCTCTGTAAATGGCTGTAAATGGTTGTGACTAATGCCCAGAGCTTTGGGAGCTTTGCCGTACATGTTCCTGCATATTAATATAATGATTGACTGTTGTGTGCCAACATCCTTGCAGCTTTTTCCAACACCGTATGCCATCTGGGTGTGTTTCTGAGAACTCTGTCTGGCTCATAAAACTACAGTGTGCATGAACAAAAGTGAAACAGAGAAAAGTTACTGATGCATAAAGGTCCAAAGAAAGAAAAATAAAGATGCCGTTTTTAATGACAGCTTCATGGGAGCTAATCGCCGACTCCTTTTTGAGTCACAAACAAGAACATGATTTCATCCTTAACACACAACACATGTGAGCTATTTTTTGTGTTTTGATGCTCTAAAATGACTACTGCCTCTGACAACAAAACCTAAATATGGAAGCACCACTTGGCATCACACCATGAGGCAGCAAAAAACCCCCACACCAAAACAAAAGTTACGTACTGGGATACTGACCGGTAATTCTTCCACACAGGAACAGGAAATCTGGGAAGCCTGGAAGAAACAATGTTACAACCATAAATAACCTCAAAGTTCATAAGAATGTGTTGCAATGCTGGCTATTCAATTTTTTTATATATTAAAACATGGCTTAATACAGACTACATTAAATATTGAATTCCATGCTCTTGATGACATGCACACAGCTACACCTACCTAAAGGATAGACTAAATAAACAAAAAGCTGGTTGCACTTGTTACAGTTAAGTGCACCTAATATGCTGGCAACTGGGTATATATTGTATACACCGTATAGTAATAACAATACAATCAGATGTAGAGGTATACAAGACTGTGCGTTTGAGTGCATGCTCTCATGACCATTACTACACTAACATGAGTGCAACTACAGTAAGAAATGAATTATGTACGATAAAAGTGGTCATAATCATGCTATATAAACCATCTGCACAAGTATAACACTTGTTAGCAATACACTATAACCTATACCAAACTATATACTATATAACAAACAGTAAATCTATGCCCTACACTACACTGATGGTGACAATTCATCTATAGCATTTTAATATCAGCTCCAGTGATAACTACTTTAAAGTGAAGAAATGACTTCGCATTATGGACACCACTGTCAGGGCTGTGGTGTCCCAAATGAGTTCATCTTACGGCTGTCTCTTTAGCTTTATTCATAACCAGTTAATTCATTCACACATCTCCACCAACATCCAGCCAAAGACTAGCACCGTTAGCCTGTTAGCTGCTAAACTTACGTTAGGCGATCCAGCTCGAACAAAGGTGACTTGTCTTCACTTCTTTTCTTTAGTGTCTCACGAGTTTAAAAACATGGGTGCGTTTACGTGGAGAAAAAAAAGTGGACGCCTGTAATATAACAATAAGGTGTACTATATTCAGCCTACGGCTACATTATCCTCCAACTTCGGTAAAAACTTCGATTTAACTTCGATAAATACGAAGAAACCCCTTGCGAGTGCACTAGCTTTGTGTGTTTTCGCCAAGTAGCCAATCAGAGAGCGGCATTCAAATTTAGTCACGCCCCTGCAGAAAATTCATTGGACGAACAGATTTGAATGGAGAAGGGTGACGTTTTTGTGATAATGTAGCTGAGACAAGCACGAGCTTTATTATGTTTGAAAGTTTGACACGCCTTGGCTTGCACACTTGTGGGGCTTCGGCACTGTGCATTATTATTTAGGAGGGCGAAAGTCTGCACATTCCCATACTTATTTTTAAAGAGAGAATAAGTATGTAATGGCCAATAGCCCAAAACTGTCACTTGCTAGCAGCCTTTTGGAGGAGGTTTCAGCACCGTTACCTAGCAACGAGACCCCGCTAGTTGTCATGCACGCTGCTGTCACCGCGGGTCCAGACGTTCAGCGCTGCCTTTTATCCATTATTAATGATGCCACAAAAACGAAACCTGTTCAGGAAGGCATATGTCAAGAAAGATGGGGGGGAAATATTAAACCATCGCTGCTAGTTTCAAGACCTGGATCAACTTAAAGGTAATGGCACACTACTGAAGAAGAACCAGCCGGCTAAACACAACCAAGGTAAGTAACCACCGCCAGCAAAGCATTTCAGTAGTACTATGTCACTGAAATGCAGCTCAGACTTACATGCAGAAACAGTACAGACGCTTAAACGTGTTTGGTAACACTCACATACATGTAACTTGTAGTAGGAGATAAATGTCCTTTATATACTTTTACTCCACTACTCTTATGAAATGTAGTTATTACGATTATGGTAACAAGTACCTGAATATATATATCACATGACATATTTTGTTAACATACATGCAAAAACTTATGAGCTATTAAAATATCATATCAGGGTATTATATATGTATATTTAACTCTATATTAATGATGTGCAGTATTAACAGATTCCCGTGTGTTGCAAAATGTATTTTACAACTTGTTTTGTATAGATAATAGTTTTATATTATGACAAAGACACTTTTGTTTTAGCATAGTGTTTTTTTTTCTTGGTTCGGTTTAGTTCACAGAGTGCGTTTATATAGTTTAGCTTTTAATAGTTTCAGTGTTAGATTTAGTCTTTTAAATTATTATTATTGTATGGAGGGCATGTGTCAGATGTAAGATTTAGGAAAATCAGTACAGGTTTTATGTTGAAAACACAGCTTTCAGAAAGCAGTTGACTGACAGTCTTGCGCACATCTAAAAATGTCAGTATTCACGTCCATCAGTGCCTCATCAGCCACATTGTGTCTAAATTTTTTACCAAAGTCACAGATACTAAAACTAAGGATTATTTCTATTTTATGAAGGAAGAACCCATTTAAAACAAATTAGTTATTTCTGAATGAAATAGATGAATTACTTTTTAAAAAATATTTATCTATATATTTATTTATAAGCCTTCTGCTGCTGTCAGACACTCAAAACAGACACAATGCGTTTCATCCAAGCATATAATTAACTCAAAAACTTTACACCCTCGCGGCACGCAATCTTCTGTGCACACATTATATTGATTGTTGAATAATTGACACCTTAGTGCTTTTTGATCCAGTGTTGTCACATTGCAGGTTGCGTTGCTAAGAGATGAATGGTGCTTCGTTCAGTTTTCTCACCCTGCTTTTTTCTTAACAGAGGTGAGGAGATATTAAACAGTGCATCCATTTTTCTGTTGCAGAGTCCATGGAGGGAGACCTGGGAGAGTCGGATGAGAATGTTCAGGGGGAGGACAGACCCGTAGTGCTGTGGGAAAAATGCATCGAGCAGAGCTTCTTTGTTGATCTCAGTGAGGATGAAAGTCTCCACTTAAGTGATCTGGAGAGTTCTTTGGCCTTGCATCTGTCCCAGGCAGAGTCTGCTGCCTCTGAAGCAAGCATCCATCTTAGTGGTAAGACATGCATGCACTGTTGTTTATTGTGTCAGGTTTCTTGTATACTACGGTGAATTAGTGCGTATATAATGAAAAGTTTACATAAAACAAATTTTTTAATAATACATCATTTAGGGGTGGGGGGAAAAAATCGATACTGTGTAGTATCGTGATATTTTGTTTGCTAATAATGTATCGATACAGGGACAGCAGAAATCGATATTTTGTTACAAAAAAAGTTTTTGTGGACTGGAACATGCTCTGACTTCAGAGCATGTTGATCCTTTTTCTGAGCAAGAATCCTGACGTTCCTTCACTGTCCAAATGTGTTTAACTGGTCTTTTTTGGCAGCAATAAACATGACAGTTTACTTATTTTAATTTAAGACATGTTTTATTTTAATTAAGTTTAAAACTTTTTATTTAATGTAAAATTATATTTTGTTTTAATTTACTTTCAAATTCTTCAGTTGCTGAATGGGCTGCATAGTTTTCATAAATTGCATAGTTCAGAATAGCTATAGTTGTACCAGATGGTTGCATTCAGTTAATTGGACTAGCCTGTAATACAAACCGTTCAAGTTTGTCAACAATAAAACTGAAATGAGAGAAAGACTGAGTGTGAGACTTTGATATTAGATAAAATGAATATTGATAAAGTTTACCTTTATACAGAATCTGAATATCGCAAAATATTTTAAAAAATTGCAATAATATCGTATCGTGCATTAAGTATTGTGATAATATCGCATCTTGGGATGTATGGTGATTCCCACCTCTAACATCATTATAAATATGTTGGCATGCAGAATGTTAAACATCTGCTATGTTTTTTTGCTCACTTCAGGTGTGACAAAACAAATGCAATGACATATATATTGTTTTTGCAAAGTCATGAGTTTTCACTCTCATCATTAGCCTTAAAAATCACAACAAGCTGATTTAATGGAATCAACATGACCCTGTAATTAGGTTTTCATGGTATTTGGGTTTTTAATTTGCAGGGGATGCGGAGCTGTCTGGCTTGGATGACTCCTCCTCAGAGAGCAGTGTGGGCAGTCAGAGCGGCAGGGTTCTAGAGAGCAGTTCCAAGAGAAACCTCTTACATGTGTCTTCCCAAAGATCAAACACCATGCAAGATAAGCAGGGAAGTGAGGACACTGGACAAAATACCAGTGATGAGGATCAGGAGGACTTGCCATATGATGGAAACATTAGAAGCCCTTACTTCAACAAGAAAGATTCCTCTGAGGGAAACATTAGCTCTGATGGAGGACACACTGTTCATGTAAGTCCTGATCTTTCTGGTCAGCTTGAATTGGTGCAAGAAGATATCAGCACAAAGCAGGACAATGTTTTTGATGCTTCCAAGCAAAGTGAGCTTGGTGGACCGCATCCTGGTGCTGCAGACATTAACCAGTTATTGCTGCGGCATTTCTCCCACGAGGAATTGCTGCGGTTGGGTAGGCTGATCGAGGCAGAGACCCTGCCAGAGGTGTCCCTGTTGGAGAGTGCAGACGACAGTGTTTTTAGCCGGGCTCCAACACACAACAGCAAAGCAGTGAATAATAACCACACAGAGAGCTCAGATGAAAAGAGTAATGCTGCATCAAAAAAAGCAAGTTCAGAAGAGCAGATAGAAAAGAAGACTCCTACTTTCACATCTGGTGCTTATGCAAACAGCATGTCCAACTCTGAAAGTACAGATTCTAAGCAGAGCATTGGGGATTTCAGTGCAGATGAAGTAAAGCAGGACAAAGCAGATGAGGAGGAAGAGCAGGTTCAGAGAGTTCCTCTGGTGCGTACAAGATCCTTCAGCGAGATGAAGTATGGCCAAGGCCAAGTCCATTACCCGCTCCCCGACTTCTCCAAGGTTGCCCCTAAAGTGAAAATCCCCAAAACCCCAGCCAGATCACTTCCTCAGTGCCCTAGCACCATTCACAGAGCTCAGTCTTCCCCAGGCACGTTAGAGGTGATCAGCAGAGTCTTGGAGGACTCAGTCCTGCCAGCCGGGAAAGCTAATGTCTTTAAAGATGAAGAAAAGCACACTCCTCCTGCACTGGTGCACCATCTGCAGGTAAAAAGCATTCAGATCATATCTTTGCATTGCAAATGAACCTTAGACTTTCAGTTTCTTTAGCTGATATTTTCTGTCATCGTTGCATTACTGTTTTCTTAGATAGAGCTGTAACATCCATCCTCTCTATTTTCTTTAGGCTGAATATGATAAATTACTCACCAAATACGCAGAGGCAGAGAACCTCATTGATCAGATGAGACTAGGAACCAGTGTAAGTTCTAAGGTTTCTTCCTGGTGTAATTCACACGGGCCTGTGTTAAATTAGTTACATTTCAAATGTAAGATACAAAGGTATTTATTGCTTTTCACAGAATCAGCCCTCCTCAGAACTCATGCTTTATTTAGAGGATGATGATGAAGATCAGGGGCAGTTAGCTGAGCTGAGCCATCTTGGATACAAAGCTCCTCATGTTCCCTCATCAGGTACGGCTCCGTGTCCGACATCTGATATCATGAAAGGTTAACTTCCTTCTACTACATGAAAATAAAGTCTGACTGGATTCCTCAGAGAGTGATCAGTTTAGATGACACATTTTTTAATGAAACCTTTTAATGACATTGAAAAAATAACTGAATATTTATGACAAACCAGGCCTGTGTATCTTTATTTAAACACCGAACGATCAGAAAGTCGAGTTAAACACTACGTTAAAGGCATGTTGTGCTCAGGCCAGCAGCTGCTCTCCAGTTTGTTGTCATTTTAGCTGGAAAATAGATTGAATATTTTATTGAATCCAGTATTCTGCCTTAGTTTTGTGGTGCCTCACAAATATTTTGCATACATAGAAGAGCGAAATGCTTCACATTCATTCTGATCCCTCCATACAGTCGATGTGTGGCTCCTGTCCAGCTATAAGACGCAGACAGTTAAGAGTTAATACTACAGAAATGAAATGTGCCATGATGTGTTTGCGCTTTTTATTCATTTTAAAAGGCCATTCTGTTAGAGTAACCAGCTGCTGGCTGTGAGCACGGCTGCAGCTGCTCAGCCTGACTGTGGTGATTGAAGCTGTTTACAGATACTGCTGTTGTCCTCCAGCTGCCAGTGTGGTTTAACCTGCACTGCTGTGGACAGCTACAGTAGCATCTGAGCCTGCGGCACATCGCTGACGGGGACTCAGGCAGTGAATCCATCACTGGGTGCACATAAAAATTGGTGTATAATGTTACAGCAAATAAAAACAGTCATGTTAAATTCAGAGTTAAGGTGGCATGTCATTCTGCTGCAGTAATCACAGCTACGGTCTGTCTCTACGGCGGTTCTAATAAAGCTGCAGAACCAGTTAATCTAGCACCCTTTGTAAACACAGTGGTGCAGATTTAAACCTCAGCATGCAGCAGCAGTGAGGGCTATACTGACTAACTGTAGTTTAATAATTTAAATAATACTTGATAGTAATGCAGAAAAGCCTTTCTCCATAGGGGATACTAGATAAGGGAGAGGTAACACACAAGTTTTTGTGAGGGACTCTAAAGTTAGTGTTGCCATGATCCTTGAGGGCCTCTGTTGTGATGTTATTCCCAGCCTAGTGGTTTGAGCTACATTACATCAGCTCTGACCCAACCCACCCTAACCCGAACAACTAATCACAGCAGAGCGTCCCTCACACTGCCACGCCTCTGGCTGAGCTAATGATTTGGTCTGCATGCATTTTGTGCTTGGCAGCATTATTTATAACAATAAGAAAATAAAGCTACAAATAAAGATATATTGGCAGTAAAATCCCAGAGGATTTGTCGGGAACATTTTACTCATAACTTATTACCTTAATTATGTTGAGTGTGTATGACTCCCATGTTGGCTTGTTTTCAGAAAGCTTAAATGAAAAAGCTGAGTCAGCTGTCGTCAGCACCATTAAGGAGGCGGCCGCAGCTTCCTCCAGCGAGCTTCAGGATAATCCTAGTGATGGGGAAAGGATGACCGCTGAGCTGAGAGACATCATCAGCCAGTTCATGCAGAAGGTGTGTTTGAAAATGACTACAGCTATTGTACAATTAAATGCACACATATTTTAAACATTTACAAACCTTCTGCTCTTCAGGTGGATGAATTTAGATTTACTGTGAGCAACATGGCTGTAAGCACAGAAGAAAAGCAAATGGTAAGGATCCTTTACATCCTAAATGTAAGGTAAACTACGTTTCAAGCACAATTTGGGGCCTGCTTTTTTTCTGCATGGGCATTAGTATAGACTGATCCTTTTGCAGATGTTGAGGAGCATGATGGAGGCTCAAGACCAGTTGGAAAGAAAATACATCAGTAAGAAGGAGGAGCACAGAGCTCTGGAGATGCAAAACTACATGGGCTTATCCAGGAACACTGGCACTTTTGATGCTAACAGGTCAGAGAGACCCTTGGGTGGCAGCTGTAAGTGTCAATATCATGTTTGTGCACCCATTTATGTGTGTGTGTGTCCGTGTGTATGTGTGTGTGTTTGTGTGTGTGTGTGTGTGTGTGCAGACTAGTGGAAGGAGACATATTCAGGATAGGCATGCATCTTGAGGACATTAAGGAGATCATAGACAAAAACGTGTGTGATCAGATTTCTCCTCCTCACTCAACATCCACTCCCACGTCCACGACTGTACCCACTCCTGTCTGCATGTTCACACCTTCACCTCCACCTTCCCTGCATGAGGTAAAAGACACACAGAAAATTCACGTTTAATGTTTTTGCCACACTATTCATATTCTCTGATTTGGGGCCTTTTATAGTCAGAATACGCTGTGAATAGTAAACATGCAATGCTGCATAGCAACAGTTCAAATTCATACTAGTAGCAATGCAATTGTAGGTTTCCAAAAATTGTGTTGTTATGGTTAATTATTTATCTGCAAAAAATGACATTGTGAATATTTTAAATGCTCGTTTTGAATAAAAAGGTCTTTGCAACATGAGGTGTGATCAGAAAGTTCTGAAAAGCTTTTTCTGACTTAGATTTAGTCTGGATCGTTTTCAGCGTAGCTGCTACTTTCAGATCTGTCAGTGGAACTTCTGTTATGCTCTCTGTTGGATGCTGGAGGAGCTCCAGTGTTTTCTTTGTGCTCGTTACCTGAGGCTGCACATTAAAGCTTGTAAACTGCACTCTTATGCTGAAAACTGCTGTTGGCCGTTTCCTTATTGAATTTCTCCACAGGCTTGAGCTTCTGTGGAGCATCATTTGAGCATCTTTTTTCATTCCTTTACATCTTTCGCCTCTGAACAGAAAGCCTCTGTCACCTTGATTGCCTCGAGTTTCTCAGGCTCTTCTTGGGCCTACAATTCATTTTCTTTTCAGAGCATTTGTTTCATCTCCAGGGTTTCTTGGATGAGACCGTCCACCTTTGCAGATGACTGCTGACTGCCAGTTTGTGTATACATTCATCTACAAAAAAAACAGCCTCATCTGCTTTGGCCTCCGGAGCTGGTGGTTAAACTCCATGATTTTTTAAGAGGGTTTTTCTTCTCTTCCTCTCTTCCTCTTCTTCTCCAAATTAAGCTCAGCTACAAGCCTCTTATAAGTAGCTAAATGCTTGCCTTTCATGTTTTAAACAGTTGCCTTCACACTGGTCACTTTATCTACATTTCTTTTTATTGGAGTGCAGTTTTATATCTGCATTTTCACAGTGGCTCCTTTCTGTCTTTTAGAGTCAGAAATATAAATTGAGAAGAAATTATAATAATCTCCCGTACTCATGCTGCCTTTAAGGCTGAAATATATCCGCTCAGCCCTGTTGATATGATAGGGATGCTTATTTGCATCCATGCCCTGCATCTTCATTTGTGACAAATCCTTTCCTGGTACAGATGCTAAGTATGTGCATATGTTTGCATTAACTTTTATGTTTCAGGGGCAAAGTTATAAGATGGACACAGAAGAAGAAGCAGAAGGGGGCAGTGACCTTCAGATAAATGGTGGATCAGACCAAAGTAGTGAGCTCGTAACTGCTGACCCTCTAGTGAAAAACTCTGGACATGGCAGCTGCCAGTTACGGTACCAATAAATTTCTTCTTTGCAGTCTAATGTTTAGGTTTTAAACTTAAAACTTAAATTTTAAATCTTTCTTTTGTGAATATAACATCTTTATAGTTTCTGATATGCAGCAAATATACAGCTCAGTGGCAAATGTGCTGAAAAATTAAAGATGACTTGGATGGATATAAGTATACTGTAATAAACCCCCTTGTCCTGGCTAGTTGTTTATGCTGTGAGCGGTGCATACGTGTGTGTTTGTGCACGTTCTCAGCCTTCCTGTGGGCAGGTAGTGTTTCATGTACACAGCTGGTGTTGGGTTGCACAGTATGGAGGGAAGGGAGTGCTTGGGTCTGTGTGCAGGTATTCTTCTCTGGCCTGTTTTAGGGACTCAACGAGCACCTTGGTTGGACTTGATGTCTGTAAAGCTGAGGATGAGGATGAGGAGAAGAGCTCTGGTTTGTCAGAGGTGGCAGATCACAGTGACATCTTAGCTTACCTGTGTGGAAACAAGACCACCTCACACGAGCAGTGGACAGTCAGCAGGTCAGTGTTGTGACTGTGAGGTGACTGACTCACAGTCACAGTCTTATGGCTTCTTACTGCTGTTTTTTAATTTTATATTTAAGTCTTCATAATGCAAGAGATCATGCTCAACACAGAAAACATAGGCATTGTCTTCTTCTCATAATGCTTTTCATATCCTACTGTTAAAAAAAGTTTTGAAACAAAACCACTGCTGTTTATTACACTTAGACTTTATACAGTAAACACTTGCTCTTTCTGCAGCCACAGCATCGAGGATAGAGTCTCCAGACAAAAGGATGAATGTGATCTGGGTGATTGTGTTAGTCTGGCAGTGGAGGTCTCCTGTTCCTCTGATGCACCAAGAGGCTCAGAGAGCCACAGCCGCTCAGAGCCGGATGTCAACACCTCATGTGCCTCGCAGGTCAGTTGCAGATACAAGCTAGCCTGTTTGACCGCTGCTGTCTCTTCCACCCAATTAAAATGCAATGCAAATTTTCATGCATGTCTTTTGGTTAAAACCTTGTTATTGATGCACAGAAGATGGTGAGTTCAGAGACAGACAGCGGATTTGGGAGCTCTTACTTGAATCATTCGGGCTCGGGATCATTTCAATCAAATCTGCTTCCAGAAAGGTGTGAGTGAGAGTATTTTAATGACTGGTTCACCATCATAAACATATTACATGAGCCTAACATGAGAATACCTTAAGCTGAGCTTTTGCTTCTGCAGTGTGCTGTCCCAGAAAGAAGGTTTAAGTAGCTCAGACAGTGAAGACTCGTGCTCCCACCTGCAAACAGCCATCCATCCTGCCATCACTGGCTACCAGTGGGCCAGCCCCCACCCATCTGTCCTAACACAACACTGTGGAGCAACAGCTGCAGTGGATCTGTGGGTGGACAGTACCACTAAGAAACCTTCAGCAATGCTGCAAGGTGAGTAATCTCCATCACTGCATGTTCACTTTTTATGTCATGTTTTCTGGTCAGTGCTAAAGTTCCTCATGTCCACCACTGACCAAACAGGATCTGACCAAAGCCTGTCTGCTCAGCACCATCAGCTCATATCTCAACCTCTACTTGGCACCTCCATGGATACTGATGGCAGAGGCAGCCCTCTGCGCTCCTGCTCTTGTAATAGGTCAGTATGCCGAAAACAAACACCAGTGTTAGTGAATAATCAATGCACTGCTGTGAATTCAAATGTTAAACCACTGTGGGTAAAATTATGAAGAGTGTGTATAATTAACATGAAAACAGCAGCAAAATAAAGTGGCACTTTATGGGAGTGAGACTTTCACCCTTTGAAAGTGTTGGTGCTCAACCTCTTTAAGAAGAAATAAAAGTTAAAGCCAGAGGGCGGTGTAGGACGCAAATTTGGTCTTGCACCTTTAAAGTGGCAGCAGACAACTGGTTATAAAGCTTATAGGAATAAATCTAATGCAAATAATTACAGTTGAAGGCCACTCTTGAAACCTTTGAATTCTTAGAGCTCTCCCTTGAAAAACAGCTCATCTGAGATTCACCCTTTTGGTTTCGATCTCTCTGTGTTGTTGCCTTCGTTACGTCGACCAACAATTGTTCTTTTTTTGTTTTGAAGGGGTTTCACAAGTATGTGGCTTTGTTCTAGCAGTCAGCATTTAAGCTAAATATTTGCCCGTATCTACTGGAACTTTATCATGACCTTTTTTTCCCGTTTTATGAGCATTTACATTTCTGTGTCGCTTGTGTGTGACCAGTGAGGCTATAATGGCCTTGCAATCGGAGGTGTCTAGGCTAAAGAAGGACCTGGAGGTGGGCTTAGTGCAATTACCTCACTTAGCTCAGAAGATGGACTATCTCACCTCAAAATACAGACAAGAGCGCCAGGAGTGCCGGTCCAGAACCAGGACTTACCAAAGTCCAGCCTGTAACAGGTGGGACTCTGATCATCATGGTCAATGAATGAAAGATGGACATTTTGTAAAGTGTTATCATATTGATAGTGACATGTATTATATCTAGTAAACTAACAAGTAAGAATTTCAGTTTCATGATAAACATTTAAACAGAAATAACCATTTAGAGTCCAAATGTCTTCTCATATTGATTATTTGTATCATAACATGTAGAGTGGGGAGTATCAGCAGCAGATATGTGAGTAAGGCAAGGCTGGAGGACTGGATCTCATCAGACATGGACCCCAGCCAGAGCAAAGGTAGACCCCCACCAGCCATAAAACTGTGTAAACTCCAATTGTCTGGCTCTAAGTTCCCTTCCCTGCTTTGATATGAGTGCATGCAGATGTTACTTCATCCTTTTAATGTAATTTGTTCGTTTGCTCTTCAGGCACAGACAGCAGTGAAACAATCTCTGAGATAATGTTGCAGTTACACAGTTCACCAACAGGGAGCAGAAAAGGTGGCAGAGGCGTATCCTCGGGACCTGAGTTTCAGTTTAAACAACAGGCGGTCCAGCCCAAAGGAGGTCAGAGCCAGAGTCACAGCAGAATTTGGTTTCACTTTATTTGGATGATTTTCTGTCTGATTGTCTTTGAACTGAACATTCAGTTTCTCCTGCTGAGTGGACAGAGGGAGGTCGCTCACTGGAAACTTCTGGGTTGAGAAGCTGCAGTTTAAAAGGAAAGAACGACATGATGTCTGACTTCAGACCACAGAGTGAGAAACTGTTTCATGTCAGGTTTTGTCCATCAAGGTTTTGATTTAATAAGTTATGAAACTGACCTCAGTAAACAATCATTTATTAGTGTTATCTGGATGAATAGTGTAAAGGCTGTAATACTGTAAGGTGAAAAGGAAAATCACTGCTGTCAATACGTACTAATTCTTACTGAGCACACTGTTTGTCATGTTTCTGTGATCTACAGTCGTCACAAATAGTTTATACTCCAAGGACAGATGGTCTCTTCTCTCCAGCTCATTTCTCCAGAAGCCGCTATTGCAGGTCAGCTACGGCTCCTCCTGCAGTCTGCCGGCCAGGTAAAATACAAGCGTTAACTGCACTGATAGAGATATTTATCAGCTGTACGCTTCATAGTTTTTTCTTGGGATAAATCATTCTTTCTTGCTACGTGTTGTCAAATCCAGCTATAAATTAAGGGAGCCACCGCTGCAGTCCATGTCCCATCACAGAAGACGTTCCACTCAGTCTGACACAGCACTCCTGCCCAGCAATGTGTACTTTCAGCGGACACCGTCTCCATCATCGGTGCCCTTCAAGACTGGCAGCAGGACAAGCAGACGTAGCAGGAGCAAGGTCAAATGTCTCACACTTTAACGCAAATCAGATAAACCAGTTCTCTTTATATACAAGAACATCTGCTGTATATCATAAAAAAGATCAGGTCTTTACTGTGACATACACGAGTCTTACTTGGCTTAAGGGACAAGTTTCTTTGGTTTTCTAGGAAGAAGACGTGAACAGGACTCTGGACCAGGCGATTGAGATGGCTCGCAGCATGAAGAGGACCACTGACCGCATGGCCAGGAGGCTGTCTGCAGATCTGGCTAAGGCTCAGCTACACAGGAAACTGCACCACATGCAGTCACAAGGTGGAAGGAAACACCTGGAACCTGGCTATGGATGAGTTTATACTCTCATCTCTTTGCCTGATACCTTTATGAAATATATTTTAATTAAAGTATATCTGATTCACAGATGTGATCTGTGATACGTTTGTTTTTGTTTTCTTTTGTTTTAAACAGTATCGTCTATAGTAGTAACACGTATAGTACGTTTTGAAAGTTACTGATATTTTTTATCAATGGGCAACATTTTTTTAATATGAATTGTCTACATGTTTTGATTTGATCTCAAGGCCTCTGAAGAACATTTTTATCCATCCATCTTAACTGTATTCTTACCAAAATGTATTCAAAATAAATGCTGTGAGGCACAATGTGATCTCATAGTGACGACAACGGTAGACATAGAGTACATTGCGACAAGTTGAAGCAATAAATGTAAACTTTATTTTCACAATGCTCCATGTCACTGAACACCCTGGTAAACTTTTTTTAATGTCAGGTGAAATATAAGAAGTGAAACTACAGTGAATGTATGATTTACAGATGGAAAATGTAGGAAGAAAACAGATGAAATTGGGTGCTGCAAGTGAAAATACATCCTTAACCATCCTTAGACATCAGGTGACTCTCTCTGATATTTCACCTCTTTACTTTGCCTGCTTCAGTTGTATGTTTGTGATCATTTTCCTGCAGAATCATGCAGTGAGTTTTATGCGTTTGGCATTTGTAGTTTTTTCCTGTTTGTACCGACTTTGTTTTTTTCTTTTAACTGTGATGTCAGTGCACAGATTTGGAGACAATACCTCTTTCTTACGACTCTCAGTAAATGATAAGAAACAGCAGCACAGTGCAAAGATTCATACATGTTGCAGACACTGAAATGCACCTTAAGGTCCCCACACAAAGATACGGGCACACACCTGTCCTCGGGATTAAAGCTGATGTTATTGCAGGTAAAGCTGATGAAACTGTCCGCCAAAATTCAAACACGCTTTGATGTGATGGCCTTTCTCAGTCATGCACTGGATTCTAAAACTTCTTGTAATATCAGCCAGGTTGTGCTGTGCAGTGAACAGTGCGATAGTCAAGGTTATCTAAAACCCACTAGTTTAATTGGTTTAACCTTCATATTTTAAAACAGAAAATATTCTGGCATCTCTTAAAGAAAGTTCGTTTTTAGCTCTCTTCCAGCAAACTGACCAAACCAGCTGATCTCCTCTGCACATCTAAGCAGAAAATGCAGAGATCATCCTTTTTTTAATCAAAATAAATAATAAAACTATAAATAAGATGAATGAAAGACTGGGGCAGGTGGTTAGCAAGATGACAAAAGGCTGATAACTAGCAGGAAAAAAAGACATCACATTTAATACAATCACATATTTATTTCAACAAATTATAAAATGTGACAGAAAAACAGTGATGCAAAAAACTTGACAGTAGTATAAACTAAAGTCGAAGCAAAGCTCTAGCCTTTTACTGATCATGAGCATTACTGCAGCTGAACAAACTTTATTTAACACAGAAATAAAAGCACAAATATCTAATGTACTAACAGGAAATAAAGCCGCTAATTAAGATTCTCTGTGACAGCAGTCCTACTAGCTGTGTTGATCTTGGACAGCAGGGGGCGTAGCTTTACCAGCTTATATAAATCTGGGACTCTCCACCATTTGACCCTAGAACAGAAGAAGCTTCTCGGATGAGAGGTGAAACGTCTTCAAGCAACTTAAAGAACCTTCACAGACGTATAGTGGTCAGAAAGCTCAAAGGTGGAGTACATCAAGTTCAACAAAAGATGTTGTTGGGTGGTAACATGATGTGAAAAATTTCACTGATCCTATGCTGTGTCAGAATTACTCAGCACATTACAGCCAAGTGTTGGATCAGTGGTGTCTGACATGCTCTCAGAAATCAGTATATTTTCCTTGACTTCGTATCTTCACAGATGGGTGAACGAAAACACTTCATATGTCCCACAAAAACTTGTTAGCCAGAAGGACGGAGTCAAAGACAGGCCTGATTAAATCTGCGGGGGTCTAGTCGGTCCTACTGACACAATCCGGCCTAATGTGACCAGATCCCAACAAAGTGGGTCAGTGAATGTTTGGGACATGTTACTGATGGTGAGAGGTGGTTTGAAATTTTCATACATTTAGACATCAAACATGTGAAGAAGTTTTTAAGCTTCCTCTGAGCTGACATTAATGTTAGAGATATTTTTGGTCTTTGTAAAAGTGTGGACTCCACTTTACTGTTGCAATAAAAGGCTGACAGTTTAGCTTAGTTCAAGAAATCATCAAATCAAAGTCAAACGTCATAAACGTCATACTTTAAGTTATAAGCGGCATGGATGTGAGTCTTGAGTCACCCCTGTTTTCCTTATATTCGCTATTTCTTAATGACATGACTTTCAGATACTGTTCATCTGCTGTAGTTTCTGACTCCTGTCATGTCTTCCCTGCAAACTGCAAACCACACTGAGATGTACAAGCTAAAAAGCTGTTGGATGATGTCATTCATTTAACCCCCTCTGGCCCCGGCTGCATACTTCTCCTTCTCATCACTGTCATACATTCCTGCTGTGAGTGCCACAGGATAGGAGGCTATAAATAAGGGAACTTGTTTTTTTTTTAATGGCAAATACTTTCAAACACTCGAGAGTACAAAGACATCACAAACTGACACATATTCTGTCTAGCAAAAGATAGAGGTTATTGAGGGAAAAAAAATACTTAATCTGTTAAAACTTCACTTTTAGAATCAGAGAAAGAAGAAAAAAAAGACAGAGGACTGGAGTATATATGGACTAATATATATCTATATACATATATAGAAAGAGATAGATATAGATAAAATCAGATAGTGGATTTTAAACTCGCGTGTGTTTCTATGTGTTTCAATTCTATTCTATTTCTTGGACCGCTTCCTCCTCAGCCTCCACTTCTTCAGATCTGGAAACATCCATCTCATCGTTCTCCTTTTTGTCTGATTTCTGCTTTTTGATGACCTGGAGAGACGATACACAATCCATGTTACTGTTCCTACACTTCTCAGCTACTACTCAGTTTCATACATGCAGTTATTTTCTCTGATGTACCTTATAGTAGAAATAAAGGGCAATGTTCTCCAAAAACAGAACCAGTGGCAGGAAAACATATCTCAGGATTGGAGTTCTTGAATCTGTGGAAACAGATCAGTCACTCAACACAATATTACCCAGTTATGGTTTAGGAGGCGTGGCTCCATCTGACGAATATGGTGACCACAATACAACATTGCAGACTGTACAACAGCCACTAATGAACTACCTACAGTTAGGTTTAGAAAGCTTTAGATTTGTGTTATTTTAAGTGTGTAGCCACACTTACATGATGTAAATGTGAGACTCAAAGTGATTTTGAAGGATTCAACAAAAGTATTTAATGTGCTGTGAAGAAATTAACATTTTATAGCCACAATTTTCAGGCACTTAACAGGTGTGGGTTATTTCTTTGTTTAACTTTTTTCATAACATATGGCATCATTAAACTTGATTAAAACCACATACTTACAAAAAATGTTTAAATATTCCAAGTATTTTTTAAATCCTTTTTCTGTGTCATCGAAAACCTTCCAACATGATGCAGTCAAACTATCACTGCCATGATCAGTAGATGCTACTGACTGTGTGTAGATGGAAGAACCATTAGCAGATGCGTAAAGACTGACAGGACTGAACTGAAAGTGTGCCATTTATTTTGGCTAATAACAAGCATTAGCAAAACAAAGGCCAAAAAGAGAAACTGAAACCCTTAACATGGAAAACACACTAGGGCAAGATAAAGACCTGCTCTGTCCTATGGAAAAAGAAGACGACAACTTTATACAGTACAGACACACACGGGCAATCAGGGAAGCAGAGACAGCCGGGGAGAACAAGACACAGCTGAATTAAATCACAGAAAACTAAACAATGGAAGCAAAACTAAAAGCAAAGCACAAGGAACACTAGCTCTCAAAATAAAACACGAAGTGCAATGTGGAAAACAGACACATGAATGAATGAGCAGAGAACACTGAGCGAGGAATTAAACTTTAAAGCAACGAGGAACTGAAAACAAGACTAAATAGACTAAGAACAAGTGCAAATGCTAAACAAGACTTGAAAGTTTAAAAAACTCAAAACATTACGTAAACTGACCCA